AGGATTTTCTTTGTTGTGTCAACAAAATTAGAGCGATCGAAAAAATTCGGATAATTTTCCTCGGAGCGCGCAAATCTAAATCTTTTTCGACAAGATGGTCTGAGCTTTTTCCTTGAATAATCTATGGAAAAAATGCCAACGTGGAGTGTCAATTTCGTATTTAAATTAGATCTATTTTACTTGATTAATCTTTCTAAATGTAACTGCATTAAATTTTCGTAGAGGACTGCTTACTGACGTACCGCTTTTGATTCTTCGATTGCTTTGTCAAGTGTAAATTTTGTTTTAATCAGATGGGTACCTCTCCAGAATCCATCTACAGTAATTACAGCATCAATTTTTGCGTCTGTCAAGATATTTTTCAAATGCTCAATACTTTCGTCAGAGGCAGCCTGCAAGAATTAAAAACCAATTAGAAATCAGTCCTTTGGCAGCTGACTTTGCCATACAGCTTCTTTGTCTTGAAAAATAGAATAAGAAAAAGGACGACTGTGGTGACAAAGGGTTAGAAGTTTTTACAAATCTGACTGCAGTTAAACTTCATTCGCTTAACCCTTGAACTTGCTAATTTCATCACGCCGTATTTATCCTTAAACCTGATAAGTAATAGGCGCAGACAATTTGATCAAGGAATAAAAGTTTACTCGAGGAAGAGAATTCTACACCACAGTTGTTTTTGCCGAAGTTTCTGCACTGTTACGCGTTTTGGGGGACATGTATCTTTGAGACTTCAAATAATAGCTCAACAATCAAGATTTGTTACAAAAACATATTTTTTGTGAACCTCAGATGACAAATTTTTTAAGGCTTTTATGCAAAGGGTTTGAATGAAAAAAAAAATAAACTTCAAAACAGAAGTGAAAGAAATTGACTATGATTTTAGAGAAAGATGAAACTTTTATGCAGAATTTTTGCTTTGTTCAAAAGAAAGAAATTGCATTGGTGAGGTAAGGTAAGGTAACTTTTAGACCAAAAATTGTGATAATTTCAGCAAAGTGGAGAAAAATGCTACAGTGAGTTATGTTGGCTGAGATTACTTTCCAAATACCAAAATACATTCACAGAGAAGGTATAGTTTACTTGTCACAAATATTTGGGTCAGGAAAATTCACTAAATTACCTCGCAAACACTTACTTCAGCTTGTTTTGGGTGCAACTCTAAATTTCAAGAGTGCTCGGCTTCAAAAGCTTTTTTAATTCTTCAAAGCGCATAATTTTGCATAACGTACTTCCCTTAAAGTTTAAAACAGCACTATTGCAGCTTCTTTTCAAAGCTTATTCTATTATCCTTTCCAATTACTTGTCCAGTAAGTTATATATAAAAGACTTGTTATTTGAATTATGTAAAAACACACTTTCATAAGAATCTAAAATCACCAAAATCAATTAATGAGCTGCGAGAATACGTCCTCTGAAAAAAGGTCCGAGAAGACAAAAATTTAGAATATTTTAAAACAACGTTTAACTTCCGCACTAGTCGTTGACTTACTTTTTCAGGTAAACTCTTTCATTTCATGAACAAGATTACTAGACTCACTGTTCATAACTGTTTAGGAAACGTCGTCTGAGCAGTCTATGTAATTTGACTTGGAATGACTCTATAACTTTCAGCTCATCTATTTCTCTTGACTGTCAACCAGTTAAAGGAGCGGGTATTTAGAATACTCGTTAACTCCTAGAGAAATTGAACCAAAATCCTTAAAAATAATTTTCCAGAAACATTCTAATCTAAACATTCTAAACATTCTAATTGTTATGTCTTTCTGAAAATTATTAACTATGAAGCACGCACAAAGGGCAAGAATTTGGCTCCGATTCTTAAAGCAGCCATTGATGCCACTGGCAACTGCAAGACATTTGGGAGATACAATAAAATCGTGGAGTCCTGAAGGCCCAGCTTGGTGAATACATTGGCACATTTCTGGACCAGTACCGTTAAGCTGTCACTAGTGACTTCACCATAATCATAAACATCGCTATCATAGTAGTTACCTTCCCTAAAAACCGGTCGTTAGAAATATGTGTGACATATAATCTTTTAATTTGAAGAAAACAGAAGATGACATTTTAAAGTGTTTTTTGAAACTTTAAACAGTTTCAACCATTCTGTCTTTTAAAGAATCCAAAAAAAGTTTACCAAAACAGGCGATAATCATTTTTGTTCGATTCATTGTTCCACTTATCTACGCATTCCAGGCATAAATTACTAACTTGCTCATCTTCCATATTTTCCAGTTCAACAACTCTCTGTTTCGCCTCTCCGCTAGATGTAAAAAAAAATTATCTTGTTTGATGTATCAATGATACTGCGCAACTCAATCAGCTATACTAAGAATTACTACACTTCGTAATTCAATAAGCAGTCATTCATTTGAATAGATCATTTTATTGAGAATTTATAACAAACATATATATATATATGTTTGTTATAAAT